TAATAAATTGTAGGTATGTATATAATCTGTATGCCCTATTTTTTGCGTGTGAAAAGATTTTTCTATCTTTCTTCTTTCTAGTACGCGTAATAGTCATAACGCAAATTTAGAGTAAAATTAAGGATATACTAAATGAATTTAGAAAGTAAAATGGTGAACCGTACAAACTACAATGTTAGTTTGTCAGTTTACTATATTTTAAAATACAATACAATAGTGCAATCATCATCATCATTAACAACCTATAAGTGACCACTGGTGACCAAATGCCTCTTCTCACACGGAGAAGGTTAGAGCATTAATCACCATGCTTGCTCAGTGCGGATTGGCGAATAAACTTATAATTCAAAATTGTAAACCCAGGTTTCCTCACGATGTTTTACTTCACCGTCTCTCAGTAATGTTAGAAAGTATACATAACTCGGAAAAAGTCACATTGGTACTTGCCGTTGGTAGGTTCCGAACCCGCACACTCATCCATGAGAAGCAAGCGTCTTAAGCCTCCAGGCCACCACGACATTCTAACATTCACACGACATTCACTATTGCAATAGAGTTTTAATAATGTGTTTTAAATTTTACTTTCTGTTTACCCTATCGTAAAGATAAGGAGGTTGGTTTTCCATACGTATTTTGTATTTTCCTACGCTGTTATAGTTCACAACAAAAACTTACGCAGATACTTTTAAACCGAACAATGAACCAGTAACAAACACCAACCAAAACATAAAACTTGTAGATGAACAAACATACACAAAAGTACTCGTGGCACGGTAAACACAACCATATTTTTAAAGAAATAAACTTCAAAATGAAAAATAAATTTCTTAACTCCGTTACAACAATTTTTGCCGAGACGTGTTTGCAGTGTTTACGTACTAAAAGTGAATGTTTACATTTTGTTTAACTTTAAAAGTATATACAGATATCTCCTAGTGCTTGTCTACTTACTTGAAGTTCAAAACGAGTTGAAAATGATATATTTGCTGCTGTTTTCCTTGAGTTTTTGAACAGATAGACTGATTTGTTTTTGAAGCTAGTTGCAAGTTGTACGAATGTCTGTTTGACTGTACTCTTTGGTTTGAGAAAACGTTGTTAGATTTTTCAATTGTACATTTTTACGGCATCTAACACTTGGCCAATGTCCATAGATTTACTACAATAAAAGTTGTACTAAAACTAATGACAATTACAAGGACGTTTTTGTACCTACAACGGCATTTAACTCGTCGAGTACCGGTTTTGTAGACACAATTATAGAACAATAGGTTGCGGTCACCGGTGACCGCTTGGTGTTCAAATCAAATCAAATCAAATCAAATCAAATCATTTATTTGCATAAAATGTAGGTGTTTACAAATAAGTTGTTACAGATATAATATAGTAGCCGTATACATTTTGCCCGTTTATTGGCATGCAAAATATGGTGAAAAAGCTGTCAGATTTAATATAATAGCAAGCAATAATTAAGGTTTACAAATTCAATACAAACAATAATACTTTACTGTTTGACAGTTTAAATAGTAAACACAATATAATCTCAAGTATTCTATGATATTCACATTAAAATACACATTTAAATAACAAATTCAATACCAAAATCATTTAAGTCGTAATTATGAAAACTTTGCTGTAATCTATTTGAAAATTCTTGCATACGTTTACATGTGAATTCCAAACTTTAGTTTGTAAACTTACTTAAATTAAACTGTTTGGTTTAAAGCCTCTTTAGTTTAATGCTGCGTTAAATTAGTATTCATTTGAATAAATTAAAACATTTATTACTTGGTTTTTAAATAAACTATACCATAAGGTGGATGCAGGTCTCTTCTAACCAGTCGATTAGTGTTTTTTTTTTTAAGGGGGGAAAATCATTGAATGACTGCTCCCGCCTGGGTGAGGCGGGAGGGAGTGTCAGACTCTTACTGACTAAAAACCACCCCGTTCCTTCTCCTGCACGTCGAGCCGTAGCCCCGGTAACCCGTTAGGTTCTCCGCGAAATTAGGTTCTCCGCGACATTAGTAAGTGTTAGTGAGAGTTTTTTAGGCTGTATAATTGATAAAGCTGTTTAAAGCTATAGGCACTGGTTTATTTTACGGCTCTTGCTTTTTTTCTGTCTTATTTTCGCGTGTATAGTGTTTGTGCCTGGTGTTGTAAGAACTTTTTACTTTCATTTTTTTTTCCTTAATTGTAATAAAATTGAACCTTTTTGACACTGATTTCCAACGTACCAAACTTTGAGATAATTGTTAATCTCAAATGTAGAAGAAGTCTATATTTCTGCAATAGACTATCATAGCTGTTAATTGTGATTAAAGATAGATTAACTTATCTAAGCGATTCTTTATAATTATAACAGCCTCTTCATCTATTTCATCATAGGACCCCATACCTGAAATATAACCTTAATTCATTGCCCACTTGGCCTAAAATTGTACAGCAAACATTTTTCAAACTGAATCCCTCTTTAAATCCTTACCGTAAACTTTTCATTCCGAGTATATCTTTGAAGTTTATTTTTTCATCGTGAACATTTTTTAAGGCAAGCCTCTTCTAAATATCGCTTGTAGACGACAAAGTTTGCGTTAAAATTTCGGAATTAGTTGGTCGGAAAGTTGCAAGTTTTCTGATTTAGTTTGCACCATTTGCACCCTTATTTTTTTCGGAAATGTTGTGAAATTGAAAATAAATCAAATCACATTTTCAAAATAAATATTTGACCTTAATTACAGCAACAAAACCAGTGCTGCTTTTATGAACATTTTGGGGCATAAACAGTTCAAAAATGTACTATTTCCATGTACACAAAAACATGGAATATCTATATTATTAACCTATAATAAGTAGCACAGAAGCACCATTTTCTCTACTATCAGCCACGAAGTATTTTCACATAACATAACATTACGCCTTTTATCCTCGAAGGGGGTTTTTCTTTAAGGGGGGGAAAATCATCGAATGACTGCTCCCGCCTGGGTGAGGCGGAAGGGAGTGTCAGACTGACTAAAAACCACCCCGTTCCTTCTCCTGCACGTCGAGTCGGAGCCCCGGTTACCCGTTAGGTTAGGTTATAGGCAGAGGTGCACATTACACCACTGTACAATGTAACACCCACTTTTCACTATTTATGTTATGAGTCCCATGTAATAGGGGGTGAGCCTATTGCCATATACCGGGCACAGTTCCAGACACCGTGCTACTACTAAGAATTTTTCAAAAACCCAGTAATACTTTGCCCGACCCGGGAATCGAACCCGAGACCCCTTACCCCTTACCTAGCAGTCGCAATTGCGACCACTCGGCCAACGAGGCAGCAAGTATTTTCATTTCTAGGATAAATAGAATCATCGCCTACTCTTCGCAATAAATCACAAGAGCTGAGCACTGTCGGTGTAATTTCTCCACGTTATATTTCCGACGGGACGGACGCCGGGAAAAAATGTCCGCCAGCCGGGATTGCGGGCGCGTACATTTATCAACACGTATCCGTGCATTTTATATATAAAATATACTGTAACGGCCATGAGGATGTACATACTTCATTCTCTTGACCTTTTTCTTGGTCATCAGCACTATTTTGATTATGGAGTAGTTTTCTTCGAGGGCTGTGAGGAGAATATATTACGCAACATAACCTATTTACTTCTTTCATTTTTTCACTTGTCTTGTTATAAGTCCCGTGAGATGACACACTTATCTAACTTTAATGTCATTCACCACACACTTGTAAATTCCATATCAATAAATTGGGTGTGGATGCAGGTGGCGAGTTGTCGTTCGACGTAGAGGGCTAAGGGGAGACCTATGTCCAGTGGAAGTCTTCCGGTTGATGATTATAATGATAATATCAATAAATTACCTGATCTATGAATTAAAATATAAACTCCTTTCTCGTTACCCACGATCTTTCAACCAATGTCAGCAGTTTTGTTTCTGAACCTAACTGTACTTCATATGTATATGACGAAAGCGAATTCAGTGATGCCGGAAACCGTCGAGATTGATCGAATCGGCGGAATCGACGTGTGATAACACAGCGAACAAAATCGCTACGACGTTTTGTGTATTAAACTTTTTACTCAATTAAAAATGTATATTTCGGCCAATTTGTGATTCTAAGCTTTGAGTACCTTTGACAAATTGGTTCAGGATTTATGGGACGGACCATTCAGTTTTGGATTTAATTGAAGGCATAACATTGAATAATTAGAGGGATGTAGGTCAAGGGTTTATTTATTACTTGTTTCCGTATCGAGGGTTTTCCTTATGCATGTTTAATTTGGATTTTTATTTTATACGTTGGTGACATGAGTTGGTTTTGTTTGTTATGGTAACTACATAAAACAAACACTTCGTATCAAGCTTCCTTGTGCGTACTACTAAGGAGTGGAATTCTATAACAAAGTCTATATTTCCTGAAGGGTATAATCTGGGTGTTTTGAAAGCCCGAATGAATAAATTGCTTATGGGACGACGTGCTCCATCGTAGGCCACATCATTGCTTACCAACAGGCGAGATGGTGGTCAAAATTCGGCCCATCAAATATAACAGGACAAACACCGATTCTTTGAATCAAAAGGTTGAATTATTACCAGTATTATATGACTACTTCGGTCGCTATTATTACCGCCAAGCGTGCGGTCTCGGTCTGCGTTTGATCGAATATTTCGAAGTGTGGGAGAGCCATGCTTCGTCATAAATGGGCCGGCTCGACCGGACTGATACCACGGCCTCATAGAAAACTGACGTGAAACGACGATGTGCTTCGTCGTGTGAGTGAGTTTACCGGAGACCCAATTTATCCCCCACCTCCCCAGTCTCCCCAATCCCCGAATCTTCCATTGCTCAAATTCCCAATTCCCATAAGGCCGGTAACGCACTTGTAACGCCTTGGTTTATGCATAAAAAAAGAAAAAAAATTCGATAAGAACAATAATATTTTTGCAGTATAATAACAATAATATTTTTGAAGTAAGATTCGACGGCGGGTAGTCTACGCGGAAGTCGCGCTTAAAGTGTCTTAATTAAAATAAATATTAATATTATTAAATATTACAGTAGATAATTAATGAACATCATTTTTTAAAATTAAATACCTGCTAGTTGAGTGTATTTCCCATCTTACATTCCTGTAAATTACACCACTGCTACCATAAGGAAATAATTGGGACAGTATCATGGCATCAGCGGAAGGACCAATTGCTGCATTGACAAGGGAGTTCAGTGAGAGGATGGCAAAATTTGAGGCTGAATATTTAAATAAAACACCAAACACTGCAGCACCCGATGGCACACCAAGTCTGGCACCGGATTACTTGGAGTTTAAAAAATTTATTTTTGACACTCTTGAGTGCCTTCAACAGCAGATGGAGACGTATGGAAGGGAGATAGATGCTCAGGAGATGAGAAGCCGCAGAAAAATTCTTCTCGTCCATGGGGTTCCAGAGCAGGTGAAGGAGGATACGCAACTGATGGTAACGGAAGTCATCCAGAATAGGCTGGATTTGAAAACTTTCACTGCCTCCTCTATAAGCAGGTGTCACCGGGTTGGCAGCCGAGCCAGGAATAGTGGTCACCGTCCAATACTGCTGAAAGTTAGAGATGTCAACATTAGAGACACAGTCTGGCACTCCAAAACTAAGCTTAAGGGCTCAGGTATAACCTTGTCCGAGTTCTTGACAAAGACACGACATCAGGTGTTTATGGCTGCACGGGAAAAATTTGGCGTGGCTAACTGCTGGACAGAGCGGGGCTATATATTTGTTCTCGGACCAAATGGTAAAAAGCACCGCATCGTGAGCCACCGCGAGCTGAGTGCGATCGGTGAACCAGCGTCAAACTCCGTGCCATGTCCTGCACCAGCGTCCGAGCGGTGTCCTGCGCCAGCCTCCAGCCGATCTCCTGCAGCAGTGGCCTCGAAGGCCTCCTCTGCGGGACCACGGCGTGCACGTGCGGCAATTAGGAAATGATTCTAGTGATAAGTACTGCGATGTCTGGACAACAAGTCCATTTACTTCGTTCACTTTCCTTAATTCTATATAATTTTCACTTTATACTTTGTTCTATAATATTCCTTTGTTTCTTAGCGTGCTATCACAAACCATTTTGCAGGTAGGTCGGATATAACGTGCGATCTCTTTGTTTTGTTTTTGTTAGGTGCGACCGACTGATTGCTTGACGTTTGACGTATGTCAAGTGTCAGGTAATCGGTTGCGTTCCAGGATAACGGAGTGTGAATTTGTCGCATTATTTAAAAATCATCGACAATCACCGTGATTTTGTTCTTTTACAATTTTTATTATTTATCTATTTTTATTATTATTTATTCATTGTTTTCTTTTTGTTGGTGCTGTATGTTGTATTTTAGTTTTTTCACTTCACTCTCATTATTTATACAACATGCTTAGCAACATGTTTAGCATT